GAGACTGCAGACATCCTACAGGAGATGGTCAGAGACTGCAGACATCCTACAGGAGATGGTCAGAGACTGCAGACATCCTACAGGAGATGGTCAGAGACTGCAGACATCTACAGGAGATGGTCAGAGACTACAGACATCCTACAGGAGATGGTCAGAGACTGCAGACATCCTACAGGAGATGGTCAGAGACTGCAGACATCCTACAGGAGATGGTCAGAGACTACAGACATCCTACAGGAGATGGTCAGAGACTGCAGACATCCTACAGGAGATGGTCAGAGACTGCAGACATCCTACAGGAGATGGTCAGAGACTGCAGACATACTATAGGAGATGGTCAGAGACTGCAGACATACTACAGGAGATGGTCAGAGACTGCAGACATCCTACAGGAGATGGTCAGAGACTGCAGACATACTACAGGAGATGGTCAGAGACTACAGACATACTATAGGAGATGGTCAGATGCAAACATACTACAGAAGACAAATCAGAGACTGCAAACATCCTACAGGAATTGGTCAGAGACTGCAGACATAGTACAGGAGATGGTCAGTGACTACAGATATACTACAGGAGATGGTCAGAGACTACAGACATCCTACAGGAGATGGTCAGAGACTACAGCCATCCTACAGGAGATGGTCAGAGACTGCAGACATAGTACAGGAGATGGTCAGAGACTGCAGACATCCTACAGGAGATGGTCAGAGAGACTGCAGACATGCAGTACAGGAGAGATGGTCAGAGACTACAGACATACTACAGGAGATGGTCAGAGACTACAGACATCCTACAGGAGATGGTCAGAGACTACAGACATACTATAGGAGATGGTCAGAGACTGCAGACATACTACAGGAGATGGTCAGAGACTACAGACATACTACAGGAGATGGTCAGAGACTACAGACATACTATAGGAGATGGTCAGATGCAAACATACTACAGAAGACAAATCAGAGACTGCAAACATCCTACAGGAATTGGTCAGAGACTGCAGACATAGTACAGGAGATGGATTTATCCCACAATAAAGCTAAGTAGGATAGTCCCAAATTTGCAGGGACAACCAAGGTATATAAGTAGCTTTAGATGTAACCAAAATCAACTTCAATGGCTAAGCATTATAGACAAATATTCCTATAATAGTTGTTCTATAAAATCTCCAACATCAGCTACGGTTCTCAAGGTGGATTTATCCCACAATAAAGCTTAGTAGGATAGTCCCGAATTTGCAGGGACAACCAAGATAAATTAGTAGCTTTAGCTGTAACCAAAATCTACTTTGATAACGGAACATTATAGACAAATATTCCTATAATAGTTGTTATATAAATCACCAACATCGGCTACAGTTCTCAAGGTGGATTTATCCCACAATAAAGCTTAGAAGGATAGTCCCGAATTTGCAGGGACAACCAAGATATGCTAGTAGTTTTAGATTTAACCAAAATCTACTTTAATGGCTGAACATTATAGACAAATATTCCTATAATAGTTGTTATATATATCGCCAACATCAGCTACGGTTCTCAATGTGGATTTATCCCACAATGAAGCTTAGTAGGATAGTCCCGAATTTGCAGGGACAACCAAGCTATAGAAGTAGCTGTACATGCAACCAAAATCAACTTCAATGGCTAAGCATTATAGACAAATATTCCTATAATAGTTGCTATATTCATCATGAACATCAGCTACGGTTCTCAAGGTGGATTTATCGCACAAAAAAGCTTTGTGGGATAGTCCCGAATTTGCAGGGACAGCCAAGATAGATTAGTAGCTTTAGATGTAACCAAAATCTACTCTGATAATGGAACATTATAGAGAAATATTCCTATACTAGTTGTTATATAAATCACCAACATCAGCTATGGTTCTCAAGGAGGATTTATCCTACAATAGAGTTTAGTAGGATAGTCCCGAATTTGCAGGGACAACCAAGGTATAGAAGTAGCTTTACATGCAACCAAAATCAACTTCAATGGCTGAACATTATAGACAAATATTCCTATAATAGTTGTTCTATAAAATCACCAACATCAGCTACAGTTCTCATGGTGGATTTATTCCACAATAAATCTTAGTAGGATAGTCCCGCATTTGCAGGGACAACCAAGATAGATTAGTAGCTTTAGATGTAACCAAAATCTACTCTGATAATGGAACATTATAGAGAAATATTCCTATACTAGGTGTTATATATATTGCCAACATCAGCTACGGTTCTCAATGTGGATTTATCCCACAATGAAGCTTAGTAGGATAGTCCCGAATTTGCAGGGACAACCAAGCTATAGAAGTAGCTGTACATGCAACCAAAATCAACTTCAATGGCTAAGCATTATAGACAAATATTCCTATAATAGTTGCTATATTCTTCACCAACATCAGCTACAGTTCTCAAGGTGGATTTATCGCACAAAAAAGCTTTGTGGGATAGTCCCGAATTTTCAGGGACAACCAAGATAGATTAGTAGCTTTAGATGTAACCAAAATCTACTCTGATAATGGAACATTATAGAGAAATATTCCTATAATAGTTGTTATATAAATCACCAACATCAGCTATGGTTCTCAAGGAGAATTTATCCTACAAAAAAGTTTAGTAGGATAGTCCCGAATTTGCAGGGACAACCAAGGTATAGAAGTAGCTTTACATGCACCCAAAATCAACTTCAATGGCTAAGCATTATAGACAAATATTCCTATAATAGTTGCTATATTCATCACCAACATCAGCTACAGTTCTCAAGCTGGATTTATTCCACAATAAAGCTTAGTAGGATAGTCCCGAATTTGCAGGGACAACCAAGATAGATTAGTAGCTTTAGATGTAACCAAAATCTACTTCGATAACTGAATATAGACAAATATTCCTATAATAGTTGTTATATAAATCACCAACATCGGCTATAGTTCTCAATGTGGATTTATCCCACAATGAAGCTTAGTAGGATAGTCCCGAATTTGCAGGGACAACCAAGCTATAGAAGTAGCTGTACATGCAACCAAAATCAACTTCAATGGCTAAGCATTATAGACAAATATTCCTATAATAGTTGCTATATTCATCATGAACATCAGCTACGGTTCTCAAGGTGGATTTATCGCACAAAAAAGCTTTGTGGGATAGTCCCGAATTTGCAGGGACAGCCAAGATAGATTAGTAGCTTTAGATGTAACCAAAATCTACTCTGATAATGGAACATTATAGAGAAATATTCCTATACTAGTTGTTATATAAATCACCCAACATCGGCTACGGTTCTCAAGGAGGATTTATCCTACAATAGAGTTTAGTAGGATAGTCCCGAATTTGCAGGGACAACCAAGGTATAGAAGTAGCTTTACATGCAACCAAAATCAACTTCAATGGCTAAGCATTATAGACAAATATTCCTATAATAGTTGCTATATTCTTCACCAACATCAGCTACAGTTCTCAAGGTGGATTTATCGCACAAAAAAGCTTTGTGGGATAGTCCCGAATTTTCAGGGACAACCAAGATAGATTAGTAGCTTTAGATGTAACCAAAATCTACTTCGATAACTGATTATAGACAAATATTCCTATAATAGTTGTTCTATAAATCACCAACATCAGCTACGGTTCTCAAGGTGGATTTATCGCACAAAAAAGCTTTGTGGGATAGTCCCGAATTTGCAGGGACAACCAAGATATGCTAGTAGCTTTAGATGTAACCAAATTCTCGGTTGTCAAGGTGGATTGATCCCATAATCTCCTTTTAAATGGCAAAGTCCCAGAATAGATGTGTTATGATGAGTAGCGCAGCCATAACAATGTTTCCACTGGCTGCTGGTTATCGGTGTCTTGTGTTTACTTTCCTATGTTTGATGCAGAAACCACGTTCGATCCGGAAGCCGCAGGCCTCCAGTCTGGTTGGCTCGGCCATAGGAACGGGGATGCTCTTCATACTGCTGTTTGTGATCGCCATTATTATGATAACCATGCGGAAAAAGCGGCCACCCAGGGGACGTACAGCCCTAGCCGGCAGGAAAAAGAAGGAGCAAGAGTAGAGATGTGGAATGTCCTCAAGCTGCCGCCTACAGAGAGACTGATCTGATGACGGCTAGTGAAATGAAGACCGAACCTTCGTCACGCCATAGCCGAACCATCCGAAAGATCTGCTGCAGGAGACAAAGAAATAGAGAACCTGGTACTGGTATGGTTCTGGCAGGTGTGGGGGGGGAGGTCTTTGATGGACGGAAAGTCAAAAGCTGGACAAAGTCATGAGTACGGAACGGAAGTCTCCTCGCTTTATGTTTTTTTGAGTGCTGAGGTTCAGCATGACAGAGCCAAAGAAAATACAAAAACATTCAAAAACACCCTGTTCAGCTGAGACTACATAAACCTCCATGAAATGCACTTAGACTACACTGTTCCCTCATAAGGAGAACATGAAGATACTGCGAGAAGACCTTCATTCAGCACCGCCATAGCCTTCCAAGTACGAGTGGAAGCTGCACGTGAACAGTAAACATCTGGGTTAAACCAGCCTCCACCTTTTTTACATGGAGGAAACCCTTGATATAATTTTCGAGTGTCAACCCTTGCCATAAACTACTATATCTATAAGCCACCACAGTACATTAGCTTGGGGGTCAGTGGGAAGAATGTCCCATTACATTGGTGGTCAGTGGGAAGAATGTCCCTTACATTGGTGATCAGTGGGAAGAATGTCCCTTACATTGGTGGTCAGTGGGAAATGAATGTCCCTTACATTGGTGATCAGTGGGAAGAATGTCCCTTAAATTGGTGGTCAGTGGGAGAATGTCCCTTACATTGGTGATCAGTGGGGGAAGAATGTCCCTTACATTGGTGGTCAGTGGGGAAGAATGTCCCTTTACATTGGTGGTCAGTGGGAAGAATGTCCCTTACATTGGTGGTCAGTGGGAAGAATGTCCCTTACATTCGTGGTCAGTGGGAAGAATGTCCCTTACATTGGAGGGTCAGTGGGAAGAATGCTCCTTACATTGGTGGTCAGTGGGAAGAATGCTCCTTACATTGGTGATCAGTGGAAAGAATGTCCCTTACATTGGTGGTCAGTGGGAAGAATGTCCCTTACATTGGTGGTCCTAGTGGGAAGAATGCCCTTACATTGGTGGTCAGTGGGAAGAATGTCCCTTACATTGGTGGTCAGTAGGAAGAAAGTCCCCTTACATTGGTGGGGTCAGTAGGGTGAATCACCCTTTCCTTGGTGATCAGTGGGAAGAATGTCCCTTAAAAATGGTGATCAGTGGGAAGAATGTCCCTTACATTGGGGTCAGTGGGAAGAATGCTCCTTACGTTGGTGGTCAGTGGGAAGAATGCTCCCTTACGTTGGTGGTCAGTGGGAAGAATGTCCCTTACATTGGGGGTCAGTGGGAAGAATGTCCCCTTACATTGGGGTCAGTGGAAAGAATGTCCCTTACATTGGGGGTCAGTGGGAAGAATGTCCCTTACATTGGTGGTCAGTGGAAGAATGTCCCTTACATTGGTGGTCAGTGGGAAGAATGTTCCCTTACATTGGGGGTTTATCAGTGGGAAGAATGTCCCTTACATTGGTGGTCAGTGGGAAGAATGTCCCTTACATTGGGGGTCAGTGGGAAGAATGTCCCTTACATTGGGGGTCAGTGGGAAGAATGTCCCTTACATTGGTGGTCAGTGGGAAGAATGTCCTTTACATTGGGGGTCAGTGGGAAGAATGTCCCTTACATTGGGGGTCAGTGGGAAGAATGTCCCTTACATCGGTGGTCAGTGGAAAGAATGCCTTATCCATTGGTGGTAAGTGGGGAAAATGCTCCCCTTACGATAGCTAAAATAATCCTTGATATCAGTGGTTACTTATCTTGGAGGCAGAACCATAGAGCTCCAATGGAACCATAGAGTTCCAAAGAACCTTGGTTGAGAAAGGCTGGTTTAAAACAGTAAACATCCAAAATGAGGTATCCGAAGTAGGAGTTCCAAGAGTGGGTCTCCTTCATGTAACCTCTCCCTTTGGTGAGGAAAACATGTTTCATTATAATAAAGGACCCAACATTTTTTTTATGAAAAAAACAGCTCCAAGGAAGCCTACACTAAGAAATACACTATATAGCCAAACGTTTGTGAAAAACCTGATCATCACATCGACGTTATAAATGGTCAGAAGAATGAGGACACCCCTCCTAATAAAGTTTCGGCATTTCCAGTGAAGGGTCCTGGTAATACTCCATCATACAAAGACACTGCAGACAATTGTGCTCTTCCAACCTTGTGGTATTAGTTTTGGAGAAGACCCTTTTCTGTTCCACCATGACTGTGCCCTATGTACAAAGCCAGCTCTATAAAGACATGGTTTGGCCAGTTTGGTGTGGAGGACCTTGGGTGTCTGGCACAGAGCCCTGACCTCAACCCTACTGAACTCCTTTCGGTTGAATTAGAATGGTGATTGCCAGATTGTTTTGAGTTTTTTTTACACCCAACGTTGGGCCAAGTCATCTCATCTATCAGTACCTCATCTCACAAATGTTCATTTGGCTGATTGGACACAAATTCACAGAGACACACTCCAAAATGTTGTGGAAAGCCTTCCTACAAGAGTCAGCTCCATAAAGACATGGTTTGATCAATGGTGGAACTCGAGTGTCCTGCACAGAGCCCTAAACTCAAACCTACTGAACTCCTTTGGGTTGAATTGGAATGCCGATTGCCAGATTTTTTTGTTTTTTTTACACCCAACGTTGGGCCAAGTCTTCTCATCTATCAGTACTCTCATCTCACAAATGTTCCTTTGGCTGATTGGACATAACTTCACAGAGACACACTCCACAATGTTGTGGGAAACCTTCCTACAAGAGTCAGCTCCATGAAGACATGGTTTGATCAGTGGTGTCCTGCACAGAGCCCTGACCTCAACCCTACTGATCTCCTTTGGGTTGAATTGGAACATCAATGGTGAGCTAGATCTTCTCATCCAACATCAGTATCTGACCTCACTAATGGGCATACATTTCCACAGACACCCAACAAAATCTTCTAAAAAGCCCTCCAGAAGAGTGCAAAATGTTATAGTCACAAGGGAGGGCCAACTTCGTTTTAATGGCTATGGAGGTGTGTCCCTATATTACTGGCCAAGGTGTGATGTTCAGGCTTCAACAAACTCGGCCATATAGTACATGTAGGTAGCTACTGCTGACATTGTCTTCTGAAGGTGCTGGTTCTCTCTATTATCCTGCTGATCCTCTGGCTTCATTTCTTTCTAAATCAAGGATTTAAAAACAAGTATGAAGATCAGGCGTTCTGACATCACACGTGTAGAAATGAAAAATATTTGAGCTGGAACAGCCGGGCAAGAAGGAGCTCAGCACAGACACCCTCCATAATCCTGAAGGTTTACCTGTATTGTGTGATTTTTAACAGTTTTTTTTTTTTTTTATTCATTGCATTATTCAGTATTTAAATGTAAATCGTGTATGTAAATGCATTTGATATTTTGCAGGACATTTGTAAATATGTTTTCTTATGAAAGCAACGACAAACCGGCCTCATGATACCAGCGTGGTGAGAATAGACCCTCACTATACAGAGCAGATTGAATGACAGGCAACCAGCAGAGGGGCCGATCCAAAAGAGCATCACATGTCTATGCAGTGACCTGTATCAACCACCAACCACTCATCATCCCACCCACCTACTGCAGTGTCCCCCTTCACATCCTCCCCCCCACTGTAGTGTCCTCTGCCCCCTTTTACATCCCCCTACCCCCACTGCAGTGTCCTCTGCCCCCTTTACATCCCCCTACCCTCCCACTGCAGTGTCCCTCTGCCCCCCTTTACATCCCCCTACCCCACTGCAGTGTCCTCTGCCCCCTTCACATCCCCCTACCCCCACTGCAGTGTCCTCTGCCCCCTTCACATCCCCCTACCCCCACTGCAGTGTCCTCTGCCCACTTCACATCCCCCTACCCCCACTGCAGTGTCTCCTGCCCCCTTCACATCCCCCTACCCCCACTGTAGTGTCCTCTGCCCCCTTCACATCCCCCTACCCCCACTGCACTGTCCTCTGCCCCCTTCACATCCCCCTACCCCCCCCCCACTGTAGTGTCCTCTGCCCCCTTTACATCCCCCTACCCCCCCCCCCACTGTAGTGTTTCTCTGCCCCCTTTACATCCCCCTACCCCCACTGCAGTGTCCCTCTGCCCTCTTCACATCCCCCTACCACCCCCACTGTAGTGTCCTCTGCCCCCTTTACATCCCCCTACCCCCACTGTAGTGTCCTCTGCTTGCCCCCTTCACATCCCATCAATTCCCCCCCCCACCCTGTTGTGTTCTCTGCCACCACATATAAGTGTTCTCTGGCGCCCCCCCCCAAAGCAGCGTACTATGGCCCCCATACCAGTTTCTACTGCCTCCCCACTGTAATGTCTTGTACCCCCCCCCCAGTGGAGTCCTGTGCCGCACCCCCAAAAAGCAGTGTCCTCTGCCCCTCTTCACATCCCCTCTCACCCCCATCCCCCCCTGTAGTGTCCTCTGCTCTATTCACATCACTTCCCCCTTCCCCCACAGCAGTGTCTTCTGCCCCCTTCACATCACCCTCCCCACTGTAGCGTCCTCTGCCCCATCACATCATCAACACACCCCCCCAGTAGTGTCCTCTACCCTTCCCCCAAAGCAGTGTTCTCCTGCCCCCATAGCAGTCCTCCCCCCCCCACAACAGCGTTCTGCCTCCCCCATCTCAAAGTAGAGTCCTGTGCCCCCCCCCCCAAAGCACTGTTCTCTGCCCCTCCACATCTTCCCCCAACCCCCAAGCAGAGTCTTCTGCCCCCTGCACATCACCCTCCCCTCCCCACTGTAATAGCATCCTCCTCTGCCCCATCACATCAACACCCCCCCTTTAATGCCCTCTGTCCCTCCCCCAAAGCAGTGTTCTCTGCCCACCCCCCACCCCCAATTTCAGCCTGGAGCCAGTGGGGCTGGGTGCTACACCTGTGCCTCCCGGGACCACTAAAACCCACAGGGGTTTCCTGCCCTGTGTGCCAGGGGCCTAAAACACCCCTAACCGTAGCCATGTACCCCCTGCATGTCTGTGTTCATTATGGTGTCACAGGTAAGGAGGGAAGATTTGATGAATACGCTTTTCTGCACTTTTTTCGCCTTAATGGAGACACAGCAGAGAGTTTGTGATTTCTTATATGAATGGAAGTCTAGGCTGCACTAAGAGCCCAACTGAAATGTTGTCATTTAAATCGGCTCAAAATAAAAACTGGGTAAAAAAAAAGCCTATCCCCCGCCAGCCTACTGCAGAGGGGATGCTTGCTCTCTGTTGGAAGCAGCGGCCTCTCTGCAGAAGTCTGACGCTCCCCCTGCTGAGTCAGCTCTCCAATCAACACAGCCCATGGTCCCTGCTGATTGGTGAATTCTAGCTCTGACCTGGGAGCGGGTGTGTCAGATCTTTACTCACAGGCTGGAAGCAGTGGTCTCTCTGCAGAGGTCAGCCACTCCCCCTACCCTAGTCAGACCTAAAGCACTCCAATCAACACAGCCCATGGTCCCTGCTGATTGGAGAATTCTAGCTCTGACCCGGCGGCGGGTGTGTCAATTCTTTACTCACAGGCTGGAAGCAGTGGTCTCTCTGCAGAGGTCAGCCACTCCCCCTATCCTAGTCAGAGCTAAAGCTCTCCAATCAACACAGCCCATGGCCCCTGCTGATTGGAGAATTCTAGCTCTGACCCGGCAGTGGGTGTGTCAGATCTTTACTCACAGGCTGGAAGCAGTGGTCTCTCTGCAGAGGTCAGCCACACCCCCTACCTAGTCAGACCCAAAGCTCTTCAATCAACACAGCCCATAGTCCCTGCTGATTGGAGAATTCTAGCTCTGACCCGGCGGCGGGTGTGTCAGATCTTTACTCACGGGCTGGAAGCAGTGGTCTCTCTGCAGAGGACCCACACACCCCCTACCTAGTCAGACCTAAAGCTCTCCAAGCAGCAGGAAGCGTGAGCTATAGATCCGACACAACGGGGGAGGAAGTGTTTTACTGGCAAGGATCACCAAGGGAAAAACTTGGCAATATTTTAAACATT